TGGCGGTGCTGTGGCGGAGCGGTGTCGGGCCCGCCCTCCCTGTTTGGGGGCCCCGCTCCGCTCCGCCCCGGCCCGCGGCTGCCGGGAGCGGCCCCACGCGCTCGCGCGGGCAGTGCGCAGGCGCGGCGGGCGCAGGCGGGCGGCGGAAGCGGCGCGGGGGGCGGCCGATGGCTCGGCGGGCGGCGGGGCGCCCGGGCCCTGCGCGCCGTTAGCGCTCCCCGAGGCGGCCGCTCCGGCTCCGGCGGGCGAAGGGGAGAGGCTCCGCCGGCCCCTCCCGCGGCGGCAGCAGCTCCGGCTCCGTGTCGCGGGCGCGGCGGTGGCGGGTCCGGCTCCGCGCCGCCTCCCTGCGGGCGGGTGTTATGGCCCCTTGGGGGAGCGCAGAGGGGTCCCCGGCTTGGAGGTCAGCGCAGCTCCTGCTCCTCGTCGCCTCCTGCTGTGGTAGGTACCGGGCAGTGACGCCGCTCGCCCGCCTCCGTGTCGTGGGTCGGGAGGCGGCCGCGGGGAGGGGGAACAAAGCGGCCTTTCTCCCGGCCGGTCTCGGCGGGGGCCCTTGGGGCCGCCCGGCACCGCCGCTGGGCACCGCTGGGGTCCACCGGACTTCCCCTACTCCGTGCACAGCCCCGTCTGAGCTCAAGTGCTCCAGGACTCGCTCAGGGTTTCTTTGCTTTGTTTTGTTTTGTTTAGGGGTTTGTGTTTTCTATTTATCTGTTTATTTACTTATTTATTAGCTGTGGGTCGGACGGAAATCTCCTCAGGGAAGTCGTCAGAACTGGGGCCGGGGTTCCGGGGCTCGGCCCAGCTCTCCCGCAGATGTGCGCTGCCGGGAACTCTGGAGTTGGCGCCGGGCCGCGCAAACAAACCAGCCCCAAATCCTCTGAGTCACGAGTAATCGCTGCCTGTGGATAATGGGGTTGGATGCTTGGGAGATGTTCCACGTCCGGCCTGGTGTCGGGGGCAGGGCAGCCCCTCCGGGCCGGGGGCCGGCGCTGGGTGATGAGTTTGTGACACATCAGCACAGGCCTGGAAGCCCTTCCGGGGACCTTTGCTTCGGCTCAGCCTGCCTGCAGCTCATATCCGAATGGCATTTCATCCCTGAGTATAAAAACGTCTTTAAACAGAGCTGGTAATGAAAAATATTTGTACAAATGTGTTAGACAACGTACTGAGGTTGGTTTTTACAGTATGCTAGTGGCCCAGTACCACATCATAGATCAAAACGCAGATACTTGACAAGGAGTGTCGTGACATGTTTTCTCAGGGAGTTGTGTTTGTTTTATGAAATCGAGCATGGGTCGTGTCCGTGGTTCCTCAACGGGAGAAGCAGCCTTTGGCACAGCACTGGGCATGTGCCTTGCCCTGAGCAGGACAGCGACAGGGGCCCTGCTTCGGCAGTTGCTGAAGTAGATGCCTTTGCCTTAAACACGTCATTGAGCATCTGAAATTGGAGTCTCTTTAGGAAAACAAACTTGAGTCTGGAACATCAAGATATTTCAGATTTGTCTGTACCAAGTGCTTTGTCCAGCACATGCCTGTGCTGCAACAATCACTCCAAACCCTAAAAGTGTAGACATACCACGTATATTTGTAAGAGCACTTGCCATTTTATTTTATGTGAGTAGAAAAGTAAGGTAGGCTTCTTCAAACAGAGCTACAGATATGGCAGTACCTGCAACTGAATAGCTACTGTGGGAAAGTTTAATTTTTGGGGGGGCCTACTTGGATGAACAAAGGAAGGTACAGACCAGACTTTTAAATGCATACGAAGTGAAGCAAAGGGTTTTATGTGAAAAGCTAAATTACAAGCACGACTGTAAAGGAGTTGGCTAATGGTAGAGAAAAAAGTGGTAGTGAAAATCTTGTTTGGATATATTAAGCTGTTCTTGTGCTTGCATAGTTAATGTACTTGAGAAATTTAATTTCTGTGCAAACTTTTTTTTAACAAACTCTGTGTGCTAACTTTATTATTCTTGTCACAGAATCGTAGTAAAAAGTCAAAATGATGATTGTGATATCTATCCCTCATCAGACTGACGATAGTTTCAAATTGGGATGCTGTAACTTAGGTGTTTTTGCCAGTATTTCCCCTATAAAAATTTAAATAATAAGCGCAATCTTTAGTTAGAGAAAAAGCAACCAAATAAAATTCTTGCTGAATAACATTTTTTATAGACCTTTAATCAAGACTTCCCAAAGTTCAGCCAAGAAGGCTCTATAATTTTCTTTTGCCTTGCAGAGAAATGCATCACTATCCTTTATTGCCATTGCCAGGAAAGAGAAGCTGCTTCTGATTTTGATCAGCATGCCTCATCCTCATGAGAGATTAGTTTCTCCTAACAGTTTTGTTACAAACCTCTGAAGTTCTGACCGGTTTCACCACTCAAAGGAAAGGAACTTTCTCCTCCCGAGGCTAGAGTGTCCAAAACGAAAGCAAGCATTCACTGTGTAGTATTGCCCTTTCCCTTGCTTTCATTTTGATTTCTCCTGTTTATTTCGCTTGGGAGAAGGAAGTGGGACTGGGAACTTTGCCTCATTAAAGCATTTTACCTTCCTGTACAACTGCTTTTAGCTCTTGAAACTAAACTAATTTAGTGCTGGCATGAGTCTGAACAAGACACTGCTGTTAGCAGAGCTCTGGACTGTGATGCTGATCCTGAGCAGAGCCTTGCAGATGTCTGCCCACACTTGTAGCTTTGAATGCTGTAGACAATGCCCAAGGTAAATGCATGCTTGGAAAAGCAATGGTGCATCACTTTGGTTGCCTTCTATTATGCAGATGCACAGCTAAAATATGTAGAATTTTCCACTAATTAAAATACTAAATTCACCGAGGTTGTTATGTGGGCATTGAGCTCTCCAGAGAATGTTCCTCTGTTTCCCTGTGGTTAGTGAATTTTTCAAACCTTCTTTCTGATGATGACTATAATTATAAAAATTTGAGAAGGAGGAATACTGATGAGTGAAATATTGGAATAGCACTGACTAACAAGAATTACAGCTTGGTAGAGCATTGGGTAGCGGTATTTTTTGGTTTATATTTCTGGCTTTCCTGTTGGCTTGAGAGTTTTATATCCAAGAAATAATTGATTGTATATGTTTTTACATAATCCTGGCAGGGCTTGTACTGGTACAAATATGAAGATATTTGTGCTTATCTCAAAGGCCCTAACAGTTATCTGAGTTCAAAACAGAACCATATGTGCTGGAAAGTAATTTTTTAGGGGAAAAAATATCATTTGAGAAATTAGTCCTGTTCTCGAGGGCAGTGTTTTTCAAACCAAAGTTCCATGATTGAACAACTGGAAATAAAGTGAATCTTGGAATCATAGAATCATGTAGGTTATAAAAGACCTTAAAGATCATTGAATCCAACTGTAATCCTAGCACTACTAAGTCCATCACTAAACCACATCCCTAAAAAACATATCTACACATCTTTTAAATACTTCAAGGATGGTTATCTTACTTGTTTTCTTGTTAAAACATGAGTTTAGAGGACTGGATTTCTAATGTTACTGTTTTATTTTTATTTAACTCTTGGCAGGATAATGGTTTATATCTTACTGGTACTGTCCTTTTCAGGACCAGTTTGGGAGGGATTGGTGTTCCAGAGCAGAGGTTATGAAAAGTCTTTGAGGTGGCACTGTGCAAAAACTAGGACAAGCCTTCCTTTGGAATGGAGTCTGGAAGCATGGGTATATGGCTTCTTCAGATTTCTGGAAATGCAAATTTTTTATAGTCTCGACTATACTTGTCACCCAGATAATTATTTTGAATTTC